CGAAATATGCATATACTGTTGTTAAGATTTTCTTCAATATTGTTTAGTTTGGATCCACTAAAAATGAATAAAACAACCAAGTATGTACGCGCTCATGTTGCAGGTTGCTTTACCCGTGCAACATGACCCCTAAAACCTGTATGCCCATTTCTATTTCACATTATGGTAATTTGCCTTTTACTCATTTATCGGATTCTTTTGTCGTTTTATTATGCATTCCCACAGACTCCTCAGAGCCAGCTCGGCCTCTTGTATGTTTTTCTCCTAAGTTTTCTCTCATCGCCCCGGAAACTGCCACTCAACACGATCGTCAGAGTGAGCTGCCACTTCACGGTCCTTCGGATACTCTTGAGACTTTTCGCTCCTCTCCAGCCTCTCAATGCACTCCATTATTGCACCAACTGGCATTTTCAACTCGGCATCGGGATCTTCTGCTACTTGTCACGTGTACTGCCCAGGCAAAGTTAGTAGAAACGCAAATTAGTCTCGAATTCGTTACCTTTGGCTCATGGTTATATTTCTGTGCAATTTTGGAATGTCATCCGTTATAGAGACTTAATGTGGCCTGCCTGCGGCCAGCTTATCTTGAGCCTGAAGCTAGCAGACAAAGCCTGTGGAGCAAAGGCTGCACAAGCTTATATTTCGATGGCGCGGATGTAGTTTTTATTTATTTCTATGCTTACGATGGCGCCTCTCACTGACGATGCCGACAAAATGTTTGGGAATGTGTCCAGCCAATGGTCTAATGCTGAAAATCACGAATGGGACTAGGTACGCTCCACAAGGTCTCCTTGACGCTCAGGCCATGTTGCGAAATCACAATCGAACCAACACTATAAAGTTAAAGGAGACTACACCATCTTGGTCGTCATATCTACTATTTATTTATCTGAGTTCGTTGGTGATTCGTTAAGGCAGGAGGAGTACTGCTGTGATGGAGAGTGGTGGGGATGTGGGGCGGGGCTAAGTAGGCCTCTATGGGGCACGACGGTATTGTGTCGATCTTCATGTTCTCGGAGAGCCAAGCGTCGGGAATTTTTATGGACGATTAAAAGGGGCGAGGCACTGACGAAGGGGTCTGCAGAGACTGTATGATTTCGACGGTGTCGACCCGTGGAAGTTAAGTTTATCTTAGACCTTGTGATATAATTCTCTGCGGCACGTGAAGGTAGACTTCTGGTTAATGTTAAAGAGTATTCTTATCTTCCGAAAACTGCTCTATGCCATTACTTGGCTATGTTTTTTTTCTGTCGTTTTATTTGCCAACCGAAACTCAGAGATCATTTCTTGCATGGCTCATCCACTTTTCTTGCTGAGACCTTAGCTTGTCGACTGTTTTGTGTCTGATGCTATCCAATGGCGTCTCATTTTGCTATTCCTAACAAGTAAAGCGAAACATTAGAAGCCTCTCTGTGCATTTACTTCTATAACGTATGCATTAATTTAGTCATACAAATTTGATTTCTATTTTATATAACAATCCTACAGTATTGAAGGTATGAAGACCAAGATGGTGTGGCCTTTTGTGTTGTCACAGTCTCCTTTAGTTGTATAGAAGTTGTTTGACCCTGTTTTCGCAACTTGGTCATATTGGTAGGAAGACTTAGAGGAATGCACTTTGTCCGGAGTCCATTGTATGCATCATCATTTCCAGACTAGTACCGTGGACATGGTACATTCCCAGACGTTTCGCCGGCATCTTCAGTGAGTCTTGCCATTCTTAGCATCACACAACAACTCGTCAAAGAGACAAGTGAAGCCGATCCGTTGACCAAACGTCTATTGTTAGCCAAATAGCTTAGTCTCCATCGCGGCTTTCCTGTTTCTATCTGTAATACCATTTCTATGACTTCCTATGTCCTAGTCTCTTGTGTGCCAACCCACAAATGTTGTGGTACGGCTGGCTTTGTTTAGGTTCAATGTTGAACCACAACGTTTGTGGGTTGGCATACAAGAGACTAGGGCATAGGAAGTAATAGGCTTTGTATTGTAGATAGATAGAGGATAGAAACAGTGGAAGCTAGAGCTGGTTGGCTAAAAATAGTCGTGATTCAAGGATCACGTTTAAGATCAAAGACGTCTATTGTTAGCCAAACAGCTTTAGTCTCCACCTCGCCTTTCCTGTTTCTATCTCATAATACCATGACTATCACTTCTTATGTGGGCCAACCCACAATTGTCGTGGTTCTACTTGTTTTGCTAAGGCTCACTGAAGACGTCTCCTCTTGGCTTCTAATTGTTCCTTTTTGGTCACCTTGTTATTTCTTCTCCTAAAATTAAGGATGTTACCTTGATCCAGTCGTCTTTTTTTTGCTGATCCTGTTGTTGTCTGATGTTCTCCGAGTTTATTTAGGCGATATGCAAAATTTTCGCGGATCCTGCCTTCTTCAAGTCTTCTGTTCATTAGATTCCTCTCGGTCAGTATATCAATCGCCTTTCGGATCTTGCTTTTTCACGTGTTTTCACCATATCTAGCCAACCTATCGGTCGATTTGCAGTCTATA